ACAAATGAGTATTTGAATGTCTTTATTTTGTTTTGTTTTGTTTTGTTTTTCTTTTTGGCAGAATTTCATGTGTCTTTTTAGTTCCATGCTTTTAAATTGAGTAGTCACATTTTACACATCAAACTAAACCTTCTGATTTTATTTGAAAATAAATACCTTAGCATATAAAATAAAATTAAATAGATTATAAAGAAAGCAATGAGGGCTCTTATGTGAAGAAAATCAACAGTTTCCATTCTCATTTCTTATTATCCTTCAGAAGTATCATAAATTTCTGCCACGTGTATTGGCATCTTATATCTCCAAAACTACGTGGTGCCCCCTTCCTTTCAAAACAGTTTTTCTAATCACATGAAACACATAGTAGGGAAATAATGTTCACAGAAGATAAAATAGAAGGGGCTGTCAATATCTTCTGGAAATTCTATGTGTTGACTCTAAAAATTAAATAAAGTATTATTAGAAGAAGTATCTAGTGACCAGCCCAGTGGTGTAGCGGTTAAGTTCTCAAGCTCTGCTTCAGCGGCCCGGGGTTCACCAGTTCAGATCCTGGACGCAGGCCTACTCACTGCTCATCAAGCCACGCTGTGGTAGGTGTCCCACATACAAAATAGAGGAAGATGGGCACAGATGTTAGCTCAGAGCCACTCTTCCTCAGCAAAATAAAAGAAGAAGAAGAAGTGGTAGCTGATTGCATAATTATAATGTATGGTCAGGGGAGGTATATTTATAGGTATTTAAAACTTTCTGTTGAATTTTTTGGATGAATTTTTTTGTTATTCCTGTTGCTTTTGTTAAGTAAAATGACAATACTTTAAAGAATTTTCTCACTGCAAACCAAAGTTCATTTTGTGATATGAAGTTTTGTGATATAATATTAAAAAGCTAAGGAAAAAGAATGATAAACTGACCATAAGAAGAGTGATAGGGTATGACTACACCAACTTTGAGGAAAACATCATCCTGGGGATAGAAAAACGAAACACAGATATAAATCTGCAGATGAGGTCAGATATTTTGCTGGTTGGGTCAACTCCAGTAACAATATCCTACAATAATTGCTTATTCTTGACAACTCACATCTACTGACGAAAATGTGTGTTTACTCTTTTCTTCATAGCTTCTTCCCTGACCCATGACCCCAAAACCCTTTTATTTGGTAACTTTAAAGATATAGCCATTCTTTTGATCAGGAATTTTGCAGAACCATGGGAATACATGTTATATATATAAAAATATATTACTACAATGAATTTTAGAGGTATGGTGAGTGGTGTTCTCTTTTTTCCTTAAACAACAAGCACAGCTTTTTAAAAAAAAAATCTCATATCAAAAGTTTACTGATAATTTATACAACATACACTGAGTCACAGATCTAAGGAGAGCTTCGCTTATGTTGGGGTTGACAGATCATTTATATTTTACAATTCAAACATATTTATCAATTACTTATTACATCATAATTAACCATTTACTTCCTGACCTTTTCTAAAATATTTGAGGTAGATCACTTTGATATCTATTAATCTGTTATTTCATGGGATATCCATTTTCTTACACCTACATTGTTTTATTTCTAAAAGAATATTCCAATTTATGAAAATATTCAAGTGTTTTTATTGATATTGACAAATACAGCTCCATGAGAAATTAATGGTAACAAATGAGCATACAACATAAATGCTGTAATATCTATGGATTTTAGTATCCCAAAACATAGCATTTGTTACAACCTTAGTCTAATATCTTTAATAATATACAGATGTATTTTATTTTAGCATGCTTGCTTCACTTTATTGCTCTTTGCAGATGCTGCCTTTTTTACAAATTGAAGGTTTGTGTCAACCCCGCATTGAGCAAGTCTGTCAGCACCACTTTCCAACAGCATTTGCTTACTTCATGTCTCTGTCTAACCTTTGGTAATTCGTGCAATATTTCAAAATTTTTCAATATTACTCTATTTGTCATGGTGATCTGTGATCAGTGATTTTTTTTGTTTAAAGATTTTATTTTTTTTCCTTTTTCTCCCCAAAGCCTCCCTGGCACACAGTTGTATATTCTTAGTTGTGGGTCCCTCTACTTGTGGTATGTGGGATGCCACCTCAGCGTGGCTCGATGAGCAGTGCCATGTCCGTACCCAGGATTCAAACCAATGAAACACTGGGCTGCTTGCAGCGGAGCGCGTGAATTTAACCACTCAGCCACGGGGCCGGCCCCAAGTGATCAGTGATTTTTGATGTTACTGTTGTAATAGTTTTGGGGCACCACAAACTGCACCCATATAAGACAGCAAACCTAATTGATAAATGGTGGGTGTTCTGACTGCCTCACCCACCAGCCGTTCCCCTATCTCTTTTCCTCTCCCTGGCTTCCCTACCCTGAGACACAACAATATTGAAATTAGGCAAATTAATGAGCCTACAATGGACTCTAAGAGTTCAAGTGAAAGGAAGAGTCGCATTTCTCTCACTGTAAATCAAAAGCTAGAAATGATTAAGTAAATTTATTTGTACTAAATAGTTAGCCAAGTTGTGAATGCAAAGGAAAACTTTTAAAGGAAATTAAAAATGCTACTCCAGTGAACATGTGAATGATAAGAAAGTGAAACAGCCTTATTGCTGATATGGAGAAAGTTTCAGTGATCTGGATGGAAGATCAAACCAGCCACATTTCCTTAAGCCAAAGCCTAATCCAGATCAAGGCCCTAACTCTCTTCAGTTCGATGAAGGCTGAGCAAGATGAGGAAGCTGCAAAAGAAAATTTTGAAGCTAGCAGATGTTGGTTCATGAGATTTAAGAAAAGAAGCCATCTCCATAACATAAAAGTGCAAGGTGAAGTGGAAAATGCTGATGTAGAAGCTGCAGCAAGTTATCCAGAAGATCTAACTAAGATAATTAATGAAGATGGCTACACTAAACAATAGATTTTCAATGTAGATGAAACAACCATCTATTGGAAGAAGACGACATCTAGGACTTTCATAGCTAGAGAGGAGACGTTAATGCTTGTGTTCAAAGCTTCAAAGGACAGACTCTCTCTAGATAAGGGTTAATACAACTGCTGACTTTAAGTGGAAATAAGCATCTGTTTACAACATGGTTTACTGAATATTTTAAGCCCACTGTTGAAACCTACTGCTCAGAAAAAAGATTCTTTTCAAAATACTACTGCTCATTGACAATGCATCTGGTCAGCCAAGGGCTCTGATGGAGTTATACAATGAGATTAATTTTGTTTTCATGCCTGCCAACACAACGTCCATTCTGCAGCCCATAGATTAAGGAGTAACTCCAATTTTCAAGTCTTACTATTTAAGAAATGTGTCATTTTGTAAGACTATAGCTGCCATGGATATTCCTCTGATGGATCTTGGCAAAGCAAGCTGAAAACCTTCTGGAAAGGATTCACTATTCTAGATGCCGTTAAGAACATTCATGATTTATGGGATAAGGTCAAAATATCAACATTTACAGGAGTTTGGAAGAAGTTGATTTCAACTCTCATGGATGAGTTTGAAGGGTTCAAGACTTCAGTGGAGGAAGTAATTGCAGATGTGGTGGAAATAGCAAGAGAACTAGATTTTGAAGTGGAGCCCAAAGATGTGACTGACTGCTGCAATCTCATGATAAAACTTTAACAGATGAGGAGTTGCTTCTTATGAATGAGCAAAGAAAGTGGTTTCTTGAGATGGAATCTACTCCTGGTGGAGATTCTGTGAAGATTGGTGAAATGATAATAAAGATTTAGAATATTACATAAACTTAGTTGGTAGAGCAGTGGCAGGGGTTAAAAGAGTAAACTCCAATTTTGAAGACATTCTGTGTGGGTAAAATGCTACCAAAGACCAGTGCATGCCACATAGAAATCCTTCTTGGAAAGAAGAGACAATTGACGAAGCAAACTTCATTGATGTCTTATTTTAAGATATTACCACAGCCACCCCAACCTTCAGCAATCACAATCTTGATCAGTCAGCAGCCATCAACATGGAGGGAAGACCTACCAGCAAAAAGATTATGACTCACTGAAAGCTCAGATGATAGCATTTTATAATCAATGAAATGTTTTTTAATCAAGGTACATACATGTTTTGTAGACATAATGCTATTGCACACTTGGTAGACCACAGTATAGTGGTACAGTATAGTATAAACAATTTTTGTTTGCCCCCGGAAATCAAAAAATTCATGTGACTCACTTTATTGCAATCCTTGCTTTATTGCGTTGGTCTGGAACTGAATCCACAATATCTCCAAGGTATCCCTGTACTCAAATACATATATCTAAACACACACATACTTTTTGCTAGATTTCTTGAGAACACAGGAGCTAGGTACTGGTTTTACAAATTTGGATTAAAATTGATTCAAAAACTATTGGTAGGAAGAGACATTTCATCAACTCAAAATTAAACTGTGATAATAAGAGTGCTGTGATAATGTAGAGGAATACCATGAAACACAACAAAGAGAGAAAAAATCTTCGTAGAGTAATGTCAGAGAAATCTTCATAAAAGTGATGATATTCAAAAGATAAGTAGTATTAATCCAAGTGTTTGGTGTGTGTACGCGTGTGTCCACAGCAGAAAGTTTGTATTTGTTTCTTAGTCCATTTTACTACTTCTTTTAATATGGATAAGTTGAGAACTTTCCAAGCTCTTAAATTCTGTTTCCCTTCTGATTACCCACTCCATCTTTAAGTCACTTCTCTCTGCTTGCATTTTACTGTAAGCATTCAAAAGAAACTAAGCTGCTCCTTCAACACTTTGCCTTGAAATTTCTTTAGTCAAATATCCAATTGTGTTGCTCACAAATTCTACCTTCCACATAATACTGGGACACAAGCACAATTCAGCCTGCCACTTTATAACAAGGATCGCCTTTCCTCCAGTTTCCAATAACAATTCCTAGTCCTCATTTCCAACTGTGACCTCACCAGAATGACCTTTAACATCCATGTTTCTGTCAACATTCTATTCATGACTACGATGTATTCTCTGAGAAGACTGAGGCTTTCTCTATAGCTTTCCTCCTCTCCTCTGAGCCACCGTGAGAATCATCCTTAACAGTCCATTTGTGACAATGTAGGAGCTCTCTAGCATACACCCTGAAACTTCCTGAGTCTGCCTGTTACCCGGTTTCGGAGCTGCTTCCACATTTTTAGGTATTTATTACAGCAGCACCCCATTCTCAGCACTGATTTTTTGTCTTAGTCCTTTCAAACCGCTATAACCAAATATAGTCTGGGTAGCTTATCAACAAAATAAATTTATTTCTCACAATTCTGGGGGCTGAAAGTCCAAGATCATGGCACTGGCACAGTTGGGTGAGAGCCTTTTTCTGTATTGCAAACTTCTCACTTTATCCTCACATGGAAAAAGGGGCTAGAAATATTTCTGGAGACTTTTTTATAAGAGGCTAGTCCCACTCATGAAGGCTTGCCCTCATGACCTAATTGCTTCCCAAAGGGGACGGGGCCTTTGGGAACAGAGTACTCTGTACAGCAGAGTAGAACCCTGCCTTGTCTTTTTGTGCCATCCTCTCACCTTCTTGCTCTATATCAGACAATTCTCCACTGCATTCACAGTGTTTTCATGGCCAATTTTCTTAGAAGTGAGTGGTCAGGTCCTTCTTCGCAGTCTGTCTTAGTCTGGAAGCTCCACTGAAACCTGTCCACCATGCATGACCCTGCTGGTATTTGAAATACTGGTGGCATAGCTTTCAGCATCACAGAAACATGCAGTCATAACAGAATGACAACTGGCAGATAGGTGATGCTGTTGCTTGACCCAGAAACCAAGCTGGGCTGTGGTAGTGAGAGTGCTGAATCTTAACCACTAGACAACCAAGGCTGGCTCTTAATAAGTATAGATTGACGTAATTTTGACTATTATTTCCAAATATATTTAAGGTAATAATAAAATATTAGACAAGCCCAATTTCAGATACCTTGACTGAAAGTCATTTTATGTGATTGCATAGCATTAAGTGAGTCCCTTAAACTCTGTCTATATTTCTTCAACAATAATTTGGTAATACCTATTTCTCTAACTTAAAATGGTATTATTAACATAACATCAGAGGATGCAGGGAGAAAATATTTTGAAAACAGAGCAAAAACTACACGCAAATATCCAAAAACACTGTTAGAGGACAAGTCTGCATCAGAAATAACCTAATGATGATGTTTCAACTGGATTATTATACATGAAAAAATAATTTTCCTTCTTAGTTCACACTATATATAATTCTAGGTTATATTATCAGGAGAGGATAAATGAGAAGCGTCTTAGTCTGCTTAGGCTACCATAACAAATACCATAAACTAGGTGGTCTAGATAACAGAAATTCATTTCTTATGGTTCTGGAGTCTGAAAAGACTAAGATCAAGGTTCTGGCAAATTTAGTTTCTGGTGAGGTCTTTCTTTCTGGTTTGCAGGCTACTGTCTTCTTGCTGTGTCCTCACATGTGGGAGAGAGAAAGGAAGCAAGCTCTCTGGTATCTCTTCTTATAAGGGCACTAATGCCATCATGAGGGCCCCACCCTCATGAACCCCCTTAAACTTAACTACCTCCCAAAGGGCCCATCTCCAACTAGCATCACATTGGGAGTTGGGGCTGCGACATGTGAATGTGGCAGGAAGAAACAACTCAGTCTACAGCAGGTAGATTGATCTTCTTATCAATTGTTGTGTGTGTGTGTGTGTGTTGAACGAGGTAATTTTTTGTTTGTATATGTGTTTGCCTTTTGCACTTGGACTACTCCTTATGAAAAATCACTGAACCCAACATCTGGTCTTCATTGCAATTATAATGTAGCTATATACTTTCATAAATTATATCTAGAAGAGTTTTTTCCCTATGTCAGTAAAATATAAGGAATTTTCTTAGTTATTTTACTTAATTGTACCTTTAATATTATTTTTCCAGGAAGAAACTGACAACTCTCTAAAATACACGATTGTCACTTTGATTTTAACAAAATTTCTCTGCTATTCTGGAGTAATGAACACCCTTATAATTTTGCAAAATAGGACTTTTTAAAGTTAAACAGCGATTTTATTAACTTACGTCAAAACATTTCTGACAAGTCTTAACAAGAACTTTTTTCTTTTTAATCTCAAAGTGATAAAAATTGGATTATAATTTTACTAGTTGTTATTAAAGTCCTATCAAATTTTATTTATCTTATTCACTTGGCACTCTAATCACACCCATAGAATGGCAAAGTCATCTCTCTGCTGATATTATACTTACATACATACACATATATCCACATATGTATGTGTGTGTGCGTATATATATATATATATATATGTGAAAATCAAAGTGATGTGATGAAACCAGTGCAGATGGAAATGAGAAGTGATTGATTAGCTCATTTGATTAACATGAGAAGATGAAATAGAGATAATCTCTCAAGTAGTGAGATGTGATTGATGAATACCAATTATTTTTTCCACTGTATATTCCATTCTCCTTAATTATAGATGGAGAGATAAATAGATAGAGTTAGCAATAGAGATGAAAATAAAGAGTAGAATTTGCTTCGGTTTGCTTCTTATTGAACAGAGATTCTCAAACTAGAGTCCACAGATTCTTGGCTCACTGTGATTTACTTTAAGATATTAAGCTTATTTTAACGTTCACTAAAATTTGATGAAAATCTTAACATACACAGCATACTCCTATCATATAAGTGGTCACCTTATAACTATTTCCTCACAATTTCAGTATCTTATTTTATTTATACAATCACTTTGGTGTCATTTAGTAGTATTTTAACTACCATTAGCTATTGAGAAAGAAAAATTAACAATAAAAGAAGGAACCAGAGAGTGAAGGATTTACATCATGCTTGGGCTGGCATAGACCTTCCTTGGAATGCAGTTGGGCTCCATCTTCCTCAGTGCTGTTCCCTTGAAAATTAAAGAGTTTAAGATCTTCCCTTACTGGGATGTAGGGGATTGGAATGGGCACGGTACCTGTGGAGGAAGCTGAGGGCTGGCTTGTGGGCATTTGACCTACTTGATTGCATGATATAAAAGATTGTCAGGACATCAGGACTGGGGATTTTCTGTGTCCAGATGATCAATACACATCTGTGGCAGTCTTAGTGCCTTGTGTAGATAAGGGAATTTTTAAAAAATGGTTGGTATCTGGGCTCCCAACATAACGAGATAATGATATCATATTTGCTATATCTTGCGCCTTATATATTTCTATAAAACTAAGCAAATGTGGGGCTGGCCCCGTGGCCGAGTGGTTAAGTTTGTGCGCTCCGCTGCAGGCGGCCCAGTGTTTCGTTGGTTTGAATCCTGGGCGCGGACATGGCACTGCTCATCAAACCACACTGAGGCAGCGTCCCACATGCCACATCTAGAAGGACCCACAATGAAGAATATACAACTATGTACTGGGGGGCTTTGGGGAGAAAAAGGAAAAAAATAAAATCTAAAAAAAAAAAAACTAAGTAAATGTGATGTTGTATCATATTGGTAACAACCAACGACCAACTCGAACATGCAACCATAACTGTGTTGCCACATAGTGGTTTTTGATGTTGAAGAATATAGTCATAGGAGAAAGGCTAGGAAGTTCTGAGGAGAATGTGATGCCTCAGTGGCTGCTTTTCTACCTATGATTTTACTGACCAAAAGCTCTGTAACAGATAACCAGTGATGTCTCTTACCAGTGGAATACGTAACACACAGATTTTACCACTGGAGAATTGGTGAAATATGAGGTCCAGAAGAAGCAAAATGAGGAGGCAATCAACCGTTAAAATTCTCTGATTACTTCTTGAAACTTCCCTTCATGAAACTGAAACCTCTTGGAGGAGAGGGAAATGACACAAGTAATTATATAATCAGCTCTTTTCTGGTACTTGAGATGAAAAAAGATCCAAATTTTAAACCAAAAGCCACATGGTAGACTTGGGAAAACACTGTGCTTCATCCTGATGTTATCCCCTTTGATTGCTGGTCCTTGAATGAATCATTCAGGAACACATGTGATGGGCAGATAAATCTGGAAAGCAGGGGTTATAGTACAAAACATCTCAGTCATTTTCTCGAGAAATACCAAAAGATGCCTAGAGAATCCCTACTTTCCTGTGTTCCCAAGTGAGTTGACTTAAGGCTATTAATTTATGTGTGGACACTGAAGAATGAAAAGGAATGTTTGGTGTGAATATTAGTCCACAACTTTCTGTAGTATTTGGTGTTTAGTAATTACCAGTAGCTTAATAGCCATGTCTTGTTTGGAACGGGTTGTGACAATTGGAGGAAGAAAATTGTATGTAAAGAAAAGAAACTTGAACTGCTTTCACTGGCTGTGAAAAGGAATACCTCCACGGAAACAGTAGAAATATTAATGGCAACTGCCTCCCTGAACTGCCTATGAGGTAACCAGAGACCAACTTCCTCATAAAATATTCCTCTGACCCAAACTATGGAAGACATTGGAATTAAGACATGCCTTCCATCATGTGCTCCACATATAATTCACCTACTGAGAGAGCAGGAGAGTCTATGAAATGTCACAGCAGATTTACTTTAGCATATCTTTTACTGAGAGAATGAAAATCCAGACTCTCCAGAAAAAAGTAAAAAGCTAGAGGAATGATAATACTTAGAGAAACAGAAGTAACAAAACAGGGAATCAGGTACAATACTTTAAGTGGCTATTAAAATACAAGATGAAATAAATTTATAGGATTCCCTATGAAAATTTAACTAGTATATGCTTATGTTATCCTGCACTGGTTGGGAGGAAGGAAGGCTGCTTCAGCCTCAGCAGCCACTTCTAGGGAACCCTGTCAAGTTCACTCCCTCTGTCCCAGGCTGGATGAATCTAAATCCATTCAACCCAATAGAGAAGAGGAACGGAAAGTCCTGACACAGATTACTAAGACTGTTTTAGCCACTGAGGCAGTTAAAAACAAAGTGAATTCATCAGTTTGTCCAACCACCAGTGGGGTGTCTGAGGCTATATGATAGGAATGATGAACAAGACTTTATAGAATGCCACTGCACAGTGTACTTCAATAGCCATGGCAGCATTAAGAGGTGAAAGTAAACCTTGAGAGTTAGGCAAGGCCTTGGGAAATTCACAGATAGGAAAAGAAGAATATAAGAGATGTTCAGTTTTGGTATCACCTTTA